CCATGCTGCTCTTGGCTTGTGAAAGTGGCCTGGGGGGTGTTGTGTGATTGGGCTCTAGCAGTGGTTAATTCATCTTTGAGGGAGGGGGTTGTTCTGTTGCCTCTCAAAGAGGCTCTGGTGTGCCCCCTCCTCAAGAAGCCATTGCTAGATCCCACCATACTGGACAAATTTCATCCAGTATCTAACCTCCCTTTTTTGGATAAGGTGGTTGAGAAGGCGGTTGTGCAACAGCTTCAGAAGGCCTTGGATGAAGCAGATTATCTGGATCCTTTTCAGTCCGGATTCAGACCTGGGTATGGGATAGAAACAGCATTGGATGCACTTCTGGATGATCTCTGGCATGGGCCAGATGGAGGTTATGCATCCATCCTTGCCCTACTTGACCTCTCAGTGGCTTTCAATACCATCAACTGTGGTATCCTTTGGATCGGCTCAGGAGATTTGGGGTGGGCGGCACCGTGTTGGGGCCAATTCCAGTCGGTGATAGTTGTGGAGGAGAGATTCCCTCTCTATCCCCCTCTATTTAATATCTACATGAGGGTGCTGGGTGGCTCATCCATCACCACGGGGTGAGGTATTGTCAATATCCTGAGGATACCCAACTATACATCTCTGCCCCGGCGAAGTAAATGATGCTGTGGACACCTTATCCCAGTGTCTGGAAGCTGAGAGGGTCTGAATGGGGAAGAACTTGCTTCAATTGAACCCTGGCAAAACTGAGTAGCTTTGGGTTCGGGGTCCTGCCTATACCATCTTTGGTGCTGGATGGGGTGGCACTGACCCAGACAGACCCAGTGCCAGTCCTCCTAGACTCATGACTCAAAGAGCAGGTGACAATCATGGCTTGGAGGGCCTTTGCACAGCTCTGTGTTGTGCGCCAATTGCACCCTTTCCTGGATCGGGAGGCTCTGCTCACACAGCCACTCATGCCCTAGAGTAGTGGACTACTGTAATGCACTCTACATGGGACTGCCCTTGAAGAATATCCAGAAGCTTCAACTGGTGCAGAACGCAGCAGTGCAGGCAGTTATGTGCACTCCTAGAAGAGCACCCGTTACACCTCTGCTTTGTGAGTTGCATTGGGTGCCAATTTGATTCTGGGTCCAATTCAAGGTGCTGGTTTTGACCTTTAAAGCCCTTCATGCCATGGGGCCGGGTTATCTGAGGGACTGCCTCTCCCAGATCACATCAGCCCATCCCTTTAGATCTAGCAGGGAAGGTATGCTACACATTCCATCGGCCAGGGACTTGCATTTGGTGGGTCCTAGGAGGCGGGCCTTCTCTGCCATGGGTCTCTCCTTGTGGAACATTCTCTCCCCTGAAGTTAGGCTTGCCCCTTCCCTGCTGATGTTTAGGAAGTCCCTCAAGACCTGGTTGTATCATCAGGCTTGGGGGTCTTTGGGAACTGGAGACATTCTTAGATGGCTCCACCGTAATTGATATTCTGCTCTCTCTGTGGGGTTTGTATATTTTAAAATCTATTTTTTAAAAAATCTGTGATAACATTATTCTAATAATAACTTATCTTTTTATAATGCCTGTTTTTATTCACTTATTTTAATTGTTGTACACCATCCAGAGTTGCTTTGTGTGAGAAGGGTGGCTATATAAATATGATGGATAAATAAAAATAGCAACCCTGAGGAAGAAAGTACACATAGGAGTGTACTGAGAGAAGGCTGCTCATCTTTCTGGCAGGGCAGAACCCAGGGTGGTGATGTGCCCATATAGGATATTAGCCACTAGCCTCTTACTGAGCCCTGCTTGTAGGAAGCCCCACAGCTCTGCAACCCCAGCAGTTATTGCCACAAGCATCTTCTCCTGTACCATTCTTCAAACTCCCCTAGTCTATCTGGTTTCTCCTTCAGGTTGCTGGCCATCTGCATGCCAAGATCTCTTCTACCACAAAGTCTATAAGCCCAGGACTCAGGAAGTGTTGCAATTCAGTTTCCAGGTGCAAAGGTGTAGCTATTTGAGTACAAGGTCCTTTACCAGTCTGTGGCTAAGTGTATCATTGGTGTCACAGTGTCTTTCCACTCATCTCAACTATACCTGAAACCCAAGGCCTCCTGGGGCAGGAAGAAGTGATCACAATTATTCATACCATTAATATTTTACTCTTTGCACCAGCTTAGAAAAAAATTAGTCATCACGAGCAGATCAACTGAGGGGTTTACCAACTCTCTGAACATCTGTAAGTGGAGTCTGTTCTCCATGAGATAGGTGCTAAGTTCTTTTTAGGAACCTCTTTGTGTTAGTAACTCCTTTATCTCCTGCAAGTTAAGATGGATATGCTTTTCCAATCATTTCATCAGGCATACAGCCCCCTTCCAGAGGCCCTTTGGTTTTGTTTTATCCTGGCCGTTGATGCAGACTGTCAATGTACCTTCATTTCATTGCATATCATGCCCCTACTCAATAGGCTCATGCTATCCCTACCACATACTTTCAAAGCTAGTTTTGTTAACAGGCCATGCTGAACCCTACCGGGGCCATTGGTCCTGGGCTAAACAAATCTGGAAGTAGACTCCCCACATCAGGCTGCTGTCTATGGTCATCTGGTCCCTGACACTTCTCTTGAGCAATATTTTTCTGATCAGGTTGATTGGAACTAACCATCAGTATAAGAATCTGATCACCTCATTCAAACGTATGTGTGCGTGTGGGGGTGTCTGATCTAGTTCTGGACTTGTAGAAGGAACTACTGTCACTGTCTGGGATGGATAAAATGGTCCATGGCATCATGTTCAGGATTCCAACCTTGACTTCTTACTAATGTCATAAGAAAAGCTGCCTCTTGATTAAGTCTCCCTCACTGCATTCTGAAGCTTCATTGTGTATTCCTGTGACAGAAAAAGATCCTCTCTTCTGGGTTGATGGATCATACTCTGCTCTGAAGACATGAATAAATTCCTTATCAAGTTCATCAGGAAGAACCCATGCTCCTAAGGGCATCTGACAGATGTGCTGATACTATTCACTGCTTAGCTGAGGAAGCCCTTAAAAGCAAGGATATGTTCCCAAAGTCCTCAGGTGTCCTATCAAGGTTGCCATCACCTTGGTGGACAACTGTATAATCCTGGCCTGCTTTACAAAGTTGGTGTGAGTAAGGGGGATTCATATGAGCAGGAAAACTGTCTGAGTCAGGCCGAAGCATTTGTCAATCCTTGTTCAGCACTGGTTGGCCAGAGGCTCTTCCAAGTCTTTCTCATCTCCTGCTTCTTTTAAACTTGGACATACTAGAGATTGAACTGGGAGACATGGGTATGTGTGGTGCCATGATGTTGAAACCAAAATCAAAGTTCTGAACTGGAACTATGCAACCTTGAGAAAAAAGTCCAATGTGCAGGTACAACGGGAACATGTGGATAGGCCTCCGACTGGTCTATTGACATCAGAGGGTCATTTGGAATGATGATTATCATGAGCTTCAATGCTTTCACTCTGAAGACTGATTACCTGTTGAACCCTATTCAATGGTTTGAACCTCAGGATATCTCCTCAAGTCCTACCCTTCTTTAGCAACTTCAACCTGTGCTGCTTCTTCTTGATCTCGGATAGAGATGTGACTCACTGTACTCTGAATTCCAGTGCACCATTCCACTGATATTCAGTGCTATTACATGGACTTGTTTAGCCCTCCATCTATTCTATGTTTCACTGGATCTCTCAGTGCCTCTATTCCCTCACTTGGGAGGGGACATTTTGAAACTGAAGTTTGCTGTAGCTCATTGGTACTTTGTGATTTTTCTGTTGAGGAGATCACCCAAATTCGCTTGGTTCCACTCCTTGCTGGCTATCTCTGATAAGTTATCTTGAAAATGTCTTCTCATGGCAGAGTTGGGCTTTGAAGGGAACAAGTCAGCAACGCCTTGCAATCCCTAGTAAAGTTGCTGAGCCCCTCCTTCAGACTCAATATCTTATTTGAATAAGAATTTCTGAAATAACCAAATATACAATGACTTCACATCAAGGAGCAAAGAGGTAGTTTGCTCATTTTCTAAATATAGTTTGCCTATTTTCTAAATAATAATAGGATACATCTGTAATGAAGGCAAATGTGATCCTGGGATGCCTTGACAGAAATATAGTGACAAAATCAGTGCAACTCTGCTGGACCATGCGAAGGACACGCTCCCACAGGAACTGTGGCTGACACTCAAATTTTGGTGACAGTTCCTTCAAGTAGAGTTGGAATAGACGATCTTCAGAGCGTTCACCAACTCATTGTAATATCTATGCTTCCATGATTTAAATGTTCTTGATGTCTCTAATCATCTTGCATTTACTTATTTATTCAATTTATATAGCCTCCTTAATAGAAGAAACACCTAAAGGAAGAGCAACACCTCAGACTCTAGGGCTGCCTATTGCCTCTGAGAACCTTGAATATGGTTCTCAAAACCAAAGATTCCAGAAGGAGCAACCCAAATTATAACGTTCCTCAGTTTAATCCATTTAATAATCACCCGGGCTGCCTGAGCCATGGCACAGGCTGCTTGGGGCCATCTCAGTGTAGGAAGAAAAGCCACTGCGGGTATAATATACTGCTGTCTCTGGTACCCATAACTTGGCCATGTCTACCACCTGGGGGAGGAAGCCCATGATGCGACCAGCAGGAGAGGAAGCTGCCACAAAAGACCTAACTAATCCAGACTGCATCTTTGCTCTCTTGCCCCACCCTTCTGGCCATTGACTGGTAAAATATAAGCCCTGCCTTCTAGCCAAAAGAGGTAGAGTTAACTCCTTCCTGTCACCTCCATTTTATGCTGACCAAGAATTGATTGCATAAATCTAAGTATGGCCAGGCTTGGTTAGTACTTGGACTGAAGACCACCAGAAAATTCCACAGTGGCTTAAAAAAGGAATCCTGGGAAAAAAAACAAAAGCAAAATACTTCTGTTGTTAAGAAAATTACATGGACGTGTTCTTGAAGTCATCAGGAGTCAAATTCAACTCAGATTTTCTATTAGTCAAGAAAAAACAAAAAAGTTACTCACTTATTTCACTGGCAACCTTATCCAGTTTTTCTTGAGATCTGCTGATAAGAGCCACCTTCATTCCACGCCTTGCTAACTGAGAAAAGAAAATAATACACCAGGATTAACTCCAATTCTATACAAGATCAGCATCATTATTAAGGATTGCAATTATGGAGATGAATCCAAAGATTCTGCCAGAAGGAAACTTTAGTATCCACCTAATTCCAAATAACTGTTTCAGATACGGGAAAAAAGCCCTATTATACAGCATCCAAGTGAATATGCCAACTTTAGCTAAGATGAATGATTACTGATCAATCAGTTTTTCATTTGTAGATGGAATATCTAGGCTGTTGTGAATATACTCTCCTGACAAGGCGACAGGCTCAGACATCCCCCCAAACTTACCAATGAACAGATGCTCTTTGTCAAGTACATACAAAGTTAAATTTCCCCATCCCACCCCCTTTGTTAGAGAAAGGAAAAGTATGTTTGTTTAAGAGCAAACCATAGCTGAACTGAAGCCAGAAGCAACGCTTTATTAAAATGGATTCTCCTAAAAACGCTGAAAGAAGTTCAGGTAAATGAAACAGAGGAACTTCTGTTTGGGAAAATTGCTATTTTATAGGGAAGTAGGTAAAAGTCTAGCTAGAAAATTATGTCAAGATTTTTAATTTCTTTTTACACTGACTGGAGCTGAGACAAATCTATTCTTCTCTGTATAATCTAGAAAACAGGGTTTAATCTCAGCTTTTTAATCCGTCTTATCATACAAATCTAAACACAACTCTCAACCCCTCAGCAAAGTTCAGAACTCCAGGTTCATCAATAGAAAACTGTTGTATCAGGAATATGTCCATAAGAACACAGAAAGGGGTACAAGCCTTGGAGACAGTTAGTTATGCTTAGCAAGTTTCATAACCACACCCAAATGGACACATGGAGTGGGAAGAACCAAAGAGAGAATAAAACAAAACTTTTACTGGACTGGATATGGCAGGGATGTGATGGAATATGTAAAATCCTGTAATATTTGCAGAGAATGGGAAATGGCAAGAACAGAGTAAAAGCACCTTTGCAACTCTTGCTTGTCCAGAAAGTGGCAGTAGACATCTTAGGGCCTATTAGCCTCAGTCACCTTAAGGAAAGCAATATGTATAGACTCTTGGGGACTATGCCATCACCCTATTTTTAAAAAGCCTCTGAAAACTGACTCTTCCTCAGACCTTGGGTTAGGGTGAGTGGGAAGCACCTTTTACAATTTTATTTGTTAGCAAAATGGTTTCATCCAGGACACACACAGTTTTTTTTCTCCTTCTTTGGTTTCTATTCCTTTTAATGTTTTGCATAGCCTAGATTCATTTAGAGTTAGGCAGCCTTCTAGATTAACTTGATGAACGGATGGAGGTAGTATCTTTAAACTGGATTAACGCTAAGAGTGTTAAGTCAAGCCTTGATTGATCTGTTTGCCAGGATAGGATAGCTGCTGGAATCATGACAGATATAGCAATTACTTTCTTGTAAAGGGCAATGGAGAAGTTATGGGCTACTTATGGCATGGAATAGTTTCATGTCAGTCCCCTACCAGCACCAATTGGCTTAGTGGAGAAATTCAATGGAATGTTGAGCGCCATGATTAAACAGTTCATCCAAGAAAACTTCAATAATTGGGATTTGATATTGCCATATCTCTTGTTTCACTTTAGTTGGGATTTCCCCCTTTCAAATTAATGTATGGCCAGAATGTCTGAGAGCCTGTGGAGCTGATACATTATCAGGTAAGAAAGAAAAAAATCCTCCAGAAGTAAACATGTTGAACTTTTTAGAGCAGTATAGGAATTGGTATTTATAACTAGAGTTTTTTATCTTGCAAATATGGAAAACTTCACATCCACAATGAAGAATTTACTTTCCGTATTTTATAATGAGCTTAGTTATAGGTATAAAATAAGTTAGTACTATTATTACTGAATTACCATTCAAGTGTCAGTTTCTAAATGTGATTAGTACATCTTATTGCTATATTTATTCAAATGCAGTATAAAATGGAAGCGTACTATGCTAATACAAACAAAAAATATCCTTTAAGACATAATTTATTTCAAAACTGCCACATTAAAGAATATAAAATTCATTTAAGTAAAAAATATATAATTAAAAACTCCTCCATGGTGACCTATTGTAACTTAGAATGTAGTTAACTCCCCTATACCACTCTTACAATAATATTCTTACTGTCACATGAGAGCGGGGGAAGGCTGTTCCTGGGAGGGATGAACAGTGAATATCGGGAGTGTATCCAAGGGTATAGATTCCCAGCAGAGTCACCTAAGGTTTGAAGGTCATCTCAGCTGCTCAGCTATAAAGCAAGCAGGCACCTATATTGGGCAGCAGCTATATATAAAACTTCGGCCTCCATGATCACTTTAGTGATGATAGCAAAGGCATCATTTCTTACTGCATGGTAGAAGGCAATCATAAACCACTCCTGTATTTTTACCAAGAAAACCACATGGATAGAATATATAAAATGACTGATAATATAGTGTCAGATAATGAGCCCCTCAGGTCGGATGGCATTCAACAAGCTACTAAGGAAATGCTGAGGATCTTTCGGAGTACTAATGGTGTTTATGACGTAACTAGATTAAAGCCTTTGGGACATCTATTGCTGATGCTGCCATAGAGGAAAAGAAAATCTGAAGCTGCAAAGACAGAATTATAGTGGGAACATGGAATGTAAGAAGTGTGAATATGAGAAAGCACAGTGAAAGATGAAACAACTACAAATTGACATCTTAGGCATCAGTGGATTGAGATGGACCCAGATTGGACATTTGCAGTCAGAAAGTCACACTATTTATTACTCAGGGCATGAAAAACTAAAGAATGGCATTGCTTTTATAGTTAGGAAAGGTATAGCAAGAACAGTACTTGGCTACAATGCAATCAATGACTGAATAATATCAATTATTTGGTGTACAAGAGGTTGATGAGTACTATGATAAACGTAAATTTGAAATCAAAAGAACATGCAAGCAAGACGTGCTGCTTGTGATTGGAGACTGGAATGCCAAAATATTAAGGAGAAAAATGTAGTTGGATGATACAGCTTAGAAAACTGAAATGAAGCTGGATTTATTAATTTCTGGCACTTCAATGAATTCTTCATAGCTAACAAGGTCTTCAAACAACCAAAACAACATCTGTATACATGGACATCACCAGATGGAATACACAGAAATCAACATGACTATCTTATTGTTAAAAGGAGGTGAACTTGCTCAGTTACAGCATCAAAGACATGGCCAGGTGCTGACTGTGGAACAGATCACAAACAGCTCATGTGCAAGTTTCAGGTTAAACTAAAGAAGAAGAAAGCCAACCAGTTTCCACAATATGATCATGAGCATATTCCCACTATTTTCTAGGAGAATATCAAGAATTGCTTTGAAGTCCTGAGTCTCATTTATAGAGAATCAGAGGTATTGTGAAATGAACTCAACTGTGGAATGAACTTAACAAAATAATTAACCATGAATGTGAAAAGAGACTTGCAAAGATGAAGAAACAGAAGAAAGGAAACTGGGTGGCAGAACAAATCATGGAAATTGTCAAGATGAGAAGGGAAGCCATAGTCAAGAAAGACAAAAATCTCAGGAAGAAACTTAACAAAGAGTTTCAGAGAGCTGTTGGACGACAAGAAGCAGTATTACAACAACATCCATACAGACAATGAAGATGGAAACAGATATGAAAAAACAAAGAAAGTCTTCCAAAAGGTCTCTGAACACAGAAGGAGGTTCCAACCTTCAATCGCTAAGCTAAAGGACACCAATAGACAGATAGTAACCAATTCAAAGATGATCAACAAAGTTAGGAGTATATTGAAATACTGCATAGGAGAGATGTCAACATCCGATACCTTAGAAGATAGGCCCTGCTTACATGAACCTCTCATCCTAGAAGATGAAGTTAGATCAGCTCGTCATTACCAAGCTGGAAAGCTGCCAGAACTGATGTAATATGGCAAGTTCTAATCAAGCTATGCCAGCAAATCTGGAGAACGACACAGTGACCAACAGATTGGAAGAGATCATTCTACATATCAATACCAAAAAAAGAGACTTAACAGGGTGTGCAAATTATTGTAGAATATCCTTAATTTCACACACTACCAAATAATGCTTAGGATCATGCAATGCGGATTAGAGCCCTACATGGAAAAGGAGATGTCAGATGTTCAAGCTGGGTTTAGAAAAGGCTGAGGAACATGAAACATTAATGCTGATGCATGCTGGATAATTGAGAAAGTCAGAGAATACCAAAAAAAAAAAAAAAAGTCAGAATGTGGTGCATTGATTATAGAAAGGACTTTGTGTTGATCATGTCAAGCTATAGCAGATACTTACAAAAATGGGAATCCCAGAATATCTCATTATACTCATGCAAAACCTATATACAGTCAGGAAGCAATAGTATGGGCAGAATATGGCAAAATAGACTGGCTCCTGGCTGGCAAATGAGTGGGACAAGATTATATACTTATTTATTCAACTTTTATGCTGAATATATACATTAAGGGAAGCTGGATTGGAAGGTTTTAAAAGCTGAGGAAGAAATATCAACAACCTGTGCTATGCTGATGACATTACTCTGCATAGCTGAAAATGTAAAGGATCTGCATGCAGTGAAAAAAATGGAACTAAAATTAAATAGGAAGACCAAACTAATGACAACAGGTAGAACAACCAGCCTTAGAACTGACAATGAAGGTATCAGAGTGGTAGATAGCTTCTGCCTTTTAGGATCAACCATCAACAATAAAGGAACAAGCAGTCAAGAAATACGCTGCAGAGTAGCACTTGGAAAAAAAGCCTTGGAAAAAATTTTCAGATGCTGGGATGTGTCTATATCTACAAAGATCAAAATTGTGCAAGCAATGACATTTCCTGTGACATCCTATGGAAGCAAGTAGGACTTTGAAAAAGCAGCATAGGATGAGTACTGACACTTTGAACTTTGGTGTTGGAGAAGACTCCTGAGACATGGACACCTAATAAAACTAACAAATAGATCAGTGAACAGATCAACCCAGAGTTCTCACTCAAGGCACAAATGACCTGGCTCAAATTATCCTACTTTAGACACATTATGTGAAGACTTAATGGAGAAGGCTCCATGCTAGAGAAGGTGGAAGGAAATAGAAGAAGACAATGACAAGCAGCAGTGGACTCAGTACAGTGGTGATGGGTGGACCATTAGAAGGCCGGAAGGACCAGGTGTCACAGCCAGCTCTCACTCAGAGAAGTTGGACACAGAGGAGTGTGCTCTGGAAGAACCGGGTGGATTTCAACCTGAGAAAGTTTTGACCATTCAATCACCTGAGGCTGATCCACCCAGCAATCACCAAGGAGTAGCTGTGTCCATTGTTGGAGGATGAGGAACTGGAGCTACAGAGCGCACCATGTGCAATGGAGAGCGAAGCAATGGTGTTTGGTGTGTGTCCTTGCATGCCAGGGCTATTCTCAGCCTTGATTAAGTTCCCTAGGTTCTATTTAAGAGCAATCACTCTGCTATTCGGAACTATGCTTGTTTCTGACCTGCCTGTGGAAACTCTGTTTCTTTGGACCTGGACTGTCTGACGACTAACCCACAATGCTGAGATTCGTGGACTGTGCCCCAACAATGCTTTTGCCCATTGCTTTGGACTTTGGTGACTAGAAACTCTTTAAGGCAAGTTTCCAAAGGATTTTGGGACAGCTCAAAACTGAGCATGTGATTACACACGCTTCCTGCCTGCTACTGCCTGTACATGCACCATTTAAAGTAAAGCCTTACAATCAAACTCCTGTGTGTCTGTGTGTGTGCACGTGCATGTGCATACACACCTGGTCTGGGACAGGACACCAGGTTAGGGAGAGATTGCTGTGGAGAAAATCTATGTGGTCATTAAGAGTCAACACCAACTTGATGGTGCATAATCAATTAAAAAAAAATAATTTTGATCATGGGAGAATACAATGAGTAAGAATATCATTTTCAAAACTTATATGCAAAGTAGATTCAAGGTATTAATAAATTATTAATTGAAAAGATTTCAATTCTGTTCAGACTTGAGGTGGGCCAAAGGCAATACAGAACAAGGTGCATGTATCTTTCATATTTATATAGAGTGCAAATTTCTGTGTACAGTCAGTCTCCTGTTTATAAAAGAACTGACTTATGTAACCTAAATTTACACAAGGGATGCAAAAATGACAGCTGGCTTCTTGCACGTGCACATAGCACAAAATCTAATATATAGAACAAATAGAGTATGCAAGAATTCCTGGAACTGAATACTTGTACGATCAGGGTACTGCCTATATAGGCCAGTCACCCTCTGGGGGAGATGGGCAGCATATAAATTTAATTAATTAATTAACACATACATACATACATACAGCTTGCATTGCAAAAGTTTGCTTTTCAGACACTATATGGGTGTACAAATATGTGTACATATCACCATATACAATAGGGATGAACAAAATATTTTTAATATGAATTGTCCTATGTTCAAAACAGAATGCTTCAATTACTCTAGAAATTTCTGAATTTGAAACCACTGCACAAAATGCATTAAAATAATTCACAGTGACTCATATTTAATAAACATGAAGGGAATTTTAAAAGGGAATTTCCAATTCTACATATGGAATAATAAACTTGATTAAGTTTACATATGGAATAACAAACCTAACTTTAATGCCACTATAAGTTGACCATAAGCACAGCAACCCCTCTTTTGCAAAGTGGAGTTCATTCTTCCCATTCTAATCCAAAATGAATTTTTTATTTATTTATTTTATTTATTTTTTC